TATATTATGGTAATTTGTGGTGAAATTAGACTGTAAGGTTAAGTAGCAACATCAAAGCTTTCTGCACATGAACATAGCAGAAAATATCATATGACAGCCATAAACCTGTTTTCCCATACCATTTTCAAGAATATAAATCTACGATTCATTAAGTTATATCAAGGAAATCTGACAAAAATGTAATCATTATAAAAATTCAACAATAATAAAGGTAAAGCTTTCAATTATATTCATGTTTAAGTTTAGTCATGTTTAAATAATGTGCACCACCAATGTGCAGCATCACCTGGATGATGCGACGGCAGCCATAGTGCGCCAGAACGCCCTCCACACACCAGCTTACTGGTGGAGAGGAGACAGTGATGAAGCCAATCAGGATGAAATTATACGGGGATGAAAAAGTAACTTTTCTATAGTTAGCATACTTATTTTTTTATATATTGTAGCATCGTAGTGAAAAGGTCCAGTCAAGCTGACTGTCTCTCGTTGAAATTTTGTGGGCGAGTTCTAATAGTAATCTGCGCGATCTGGAATTTCACTTGAGGCCAAAAAAGTTCCCAAAGCAAATTTCACTCATGTTTAAGTTGGCCATGTGAATTCGCTGGATTGAACAACAGAAAGCTGCTTGGTTTGCAAGTGATTCTTTATGAGCTGTGCTTTACAAATCTCTATGCTATTATACTTTTTTGGAATTTTAAATATAAATGTAAATGTAAATAATTCTGAGTGAGTGTTTATGTTTCAAAGCATTATGGGTGCTATCTGTTCTCACCTTCTCACAGAAGTGTAGAAACTTTAATCGGGTGGTTTTGTAAAGTTGGCATGAAATGGAAGTTGCAATAGTCTTTTCTTCCCTATTGTGATGTATATAAGTGAAACGGCTTCTCAAACAAGAAAAATGTAGGACAGGGCTTGATTTTGTCCACTGGGAACTGATTGGATGATTGTGGTTTGCTATTGCTGTGATGTCATGTGAGTGACAGGTTGTCCCGCCCTCGCACCAATACATTCTTTCTGTAGATATGGATCTAAATTGAACTTTAAACCTTTAGAGTACATATAACACACTGCTTGCATATTTTAAAATACTGGTTGATTTTAGATTTAAAATCACACTTATCAATCAGTTAAACACTGATGATCATTTTAAAACTAATGCGCAAACATATGTGACTCCATATTCTGTCATTTACATTAAGACCAGTCTCGGCAGGGTGATGATACGCTCCAATCCTCTCTTCATTTTCACGGTTTCAAACCCCACGTGTCAGGTAGTTAATGGATTTGAATTTTTTCACTCCAGCACAAAAGACAGCTTTCCCCTCTCCTCTCTAATCAGGTCTTGAGCTGCTATATTTAGCGCCTACTGGCGGAGAATGATTTCTGTAGGGATTGTATGCAGGCCTTGATGTTACATAAGGAAATATGAAACACAGTATTTGAGGAATATCAATCCACTATGAGAAGAAAAATAGACACGACGGCGCTATAAATACAGCAGCGTTTCCGTTCACAGATGCAAGGCTTTTCTGGATACGAGCTGAGCTCATACAAACATAGTGTACCGCATCGCAATCATGTGTCACGTCAGTCTTGGCTGAATGTTCTCTCAAGAAATGTGCATGCTTTTTAACTTTTGAGCAGGTTACACTGAAGGGTTATGACAAAATGACTGTGTGACATTTACAAGCCAAAGACTAATGATGCCTGGGAGGCTCTTGAAACCGAGCAAACGTGTCAAAACTAGGACCCACTCAGCCTGGTTGCTGGCAATACGAAGTCTTGAGTTTCCAACTGAAAAGACTGATGCTTGGTGTCAGAATAGGCTTCTTGTGACGTTATCAGAGATGTGGTTCACAAAAAAGGCATTGTGGTAACAATGTGATTTCTGTTGTACCTGTATTACAGGTACCTGTATAATAATTGATCAAACACATATTTAAATTCAAAATTGCACCGATTATAATGACACGAATGGGCTCTTTATAACTGCCCCCTTCTCTTCACATAAAAAAATTTAAACAAATTCACATCTGAAGTGCTCCAACTGTTTGAAATCATGTTTTGCTTTAAATCTAATAATGCCAACAGGTTTGTTTGAGGGTTACTGTATGTTTAAGTTAAGGCTGTGGCAAATATAATTATCTTAATATGAAAACCATTGCATCCTCACAAATATATAAGGTCTATTAGTTTGTGAGTGTTTAATATTTATTGTAAATTGGAGGCAGAAATGTCTCAAAATGTCATCTAAATCTGACAAAACCACTGTTTGGGAATGTCCTTAAAGCTAAAAATGATATAAATGAGTTATACTTGAAGTAAAAATAGTTTCAGCCAGAACAAGGTATTTAAAACATTGCTATTTAAAAAAAAGTTGCAACTTTCGATTTTCATTTTGTCCTTTATATGGAGCCCATAAGGAGACAAAAATATGGAATGGGGAGATAAGTATCTTTCAATGCTATTGTGTTCTCTCGCAAAATTATTATGTTCCCGGAGAGACTTTGCATTCTCTCGCAAAACATTTCCGTTTCCCTGAGAAATTTGCAAAAGCACTGGATTACAAAGTTCATGAAACTCTAGATGACACATGCTGATAGGTCCTTAACTCAATCTGCTTGCAATCACATCATTCTCTAGGGACAGCTGATTGGTTCCTGCTGTATCAGTAGCCAATGAGCTCGCTGTTCAACCTTCAAATACTTGATCAGCATTTGCTGTAGCAGTTGCAGCGCGCTTTCAGAAACCCTCCACCTTCCCCAGCTCCACCTGTATAGATTTGCTAGATTCCGGGTAATTCATGTATGCTATATTGTACAGCAGTGTGTCGTGTATTGGCAGTAGCAAGTCCTGTACTTGCTCTGCAGCGGCAGCAGCAATAACCAACAGCAGCACGTCTTATTTGCTCTGCAGCAGCAATAAACAGCATAATTTATTCCGCCAAAACCAAACATATCAACATTGTCATATCCATTACCATGCCAAACACTCTGAGAGTTGTCATAACAGAAATACAGGTTTTCCTCCCATCCCATTTTTTTTTGTCACCATGTTGTCCCTTTAGGGGCTCCATACCTTCACACTTGTCTTGTGACCACCCAGCTATGCGAGAGGTGTTAATTTGTTTGTTTTCGTTTCCATTTCCGTTTTCAAGTGCCATTCTGTGTCTGTGACCTATTGAAGCTTTAACCTGAAATAGGGTGTTATTTGTGGCACATTAGACGAATGGTTAGTTATTGTCCTTCAGAGATAGAAAGCAGGAGGAGAAAGCGGCATGGACTTACAGTGAGGATGAGAATGATCATCCATGAACACGACATTGATACAGGTCCCGCTGTAACACACACTCTAAAAAAAAGTCCTTAAATATAGGGCCAATGTACTGTGTTAATATGAAGGAAATTATTGTATTGATTTTTCACAGGGTTTTTACTCATATTTTGAATCACGCATTTAATTGCGTTTTGGGTTAATGGAAATGTCCATAAACTTAACGGATCATGTCCTGGCAGAAAATTACCAGCACAATTTATTTTCTTTTTTTTCTTGTCTTTTTTTTCTTCAAGTGTATTGCATGAGAGTGTATATCAAAAAAGTCATAATAAGTCATATAGGCCTACTCTTAAAAGTCATAAAGTGTTTTACTGGAAGTTTCTGTAGAGCCTCAAAGGATCTCCAATAACATCAATAGATTAAAAAATGATCCTCAGGTTACACCATGTATGCACTTTCAACCATGCGGTTACAATTTCTACAACAGCTCCACCCGTTTCACTATATAAAATGCATATTATTTATCCGTCAGTCGTTTAAGATTGACCACCATTTGAACTGAATTCAAACTGACATCTCTGAGACTTCTGTTTCACTTCAATCTGCAAATCCTCATACATAATTTAGTTTTATCATTATCTGATCATAGAGAGATCATATCCCCAAAGACGCATGCACTCCAGTTACACATTCAGAACATCTTCTATGAGGCACTGTGATGCACAATGAAGTCATAATCCATAATTCAGCTGGGCAGCATTAGGTTATAAGGAAGAACATTCATTAATGATAGTTATTTAGCTGACACTTTCATCTAAAGTGACTTAGACATTTAGTGCAAAGACAAAACAAAAATGTTTTAAAGCTGGAATGCAGAAAAGTGATTACTTTTAAACTGAGTGTATTTCTATTTAATCCGATCACCTGTTGAGTTTTATTTCAATTTTAATAATAGTATTTTCTTTGTACTAAATTTGGGTTAACTTAATATAAACATGTTTGGAATAAAATCTACACTTTTTTTCTATGAATGCTATAATCATTCTGTTTGAACAATTCCTAATGAAGAGATTATTAGTGAATCCATATTTCAATGATTTTATGGTTCGGTCTTAATCACTGCCTTCCCAGCATGCACCAAGGCATACACAATAATTATGGTTTGACAGTTTGATTTACACTGTTGTTGTTGATTTTGATGTAATGTTTAGTAATTTATTGTGATGTTGATTCACAGTTGATAAATTGACTGTTACCATTCAGACATACTAAAAATATTTTAAAATATTATTAATAGTTTTTTACATACAGCCTACATAGAGCTGTAATGACCTCATATTAATAGAATGATTTAAAAAAAAATATATACCGGTATATACAGGGCAATCATGCACTGGTAAAAAGGCAAAAGGTGATTAAAGATGCATCACCTTTACCATATATAGTCTACATTTAAACCTAAAAAGCTTGATGTGCAAAGCACTATTCATAAATATATGAAGGTTATGGACCACATGAGATGAAACACATAATAGAACTATTTAAAACATTGTTCCTTATTTTGAATCATTCACTTTTTGATGTTGAATTTAATTAGTCAAGTTGCTTGCCATGTTACTGAGTAGATCTTAGTTTTAAATGTAGCTACTGTAAGTCACCTTAGATACAGGAATCAGCTACATAACTTATTTATATTTAGTGGTATCGTACAGTAGTCACCCTACCTGTCCAAAGACTGATTTGACTATGGGATGGAGGTCTGCATCAAGCGCGCCGCTGTACGCGCCAGCTCTCCCGGGGACGCGCGTGCTGCTGTGCTGAAGCGCTGGAGGTGGACTAGAGGTGAGGCTTTGATTCGAGCCCGTCCGATGCTTGCCCTTCGTTTCAAAGAACAGCGCGGCTTCCTCCGAGCGCTTGGATTGGGAAAGAGTCGGCGAAGGCGTCCGGCTGGTGCGTGAATTCCCGTGGAGTTGGACCGGGGGGTCAATGGTGTGCTGGTGGTGCCGTGACGGTTTGCAGTGTTGCAGTCCATCCTCCTGATGATATCCATCCTGGCCGCGGTGATTCTGGATCTTCTCCCCTTTTCGTCCGAGTTTCGGTTGGCACAGGGGTCTGCGGGCGGTGGCATCGCACTCTACGGTCCAACACGATTCCCCGCCGCCGCCTCCCGTGTGCCGGTGACCGTTGCGGTGACTCGCGGGGTCCGTGCGGACTCTCCGGTTTGTTTTGATGAGGGACGTGGTGGATTCGCTTTTTGGAAGCGAGGAGCTCATTTTGACAACCACAAACTCGTGAAGTTCTACAGTTCAGTCAGATGTAGCAGCAAAAGCCTGAATATCTAAACGTGTCGTTGGTTGGGTGGGAGTCTCACCGGTGAAAGCACAGTCAATTACTTTATAGAGCACGAGAGCATCATCACACAGGTCGCTCGCGCAGAGTTTTGTTCGGTCCCTCGTGACCCCATTGAGCGCGCGCTACCACAAAAATACAGCAAGTGCATCTCTCTCTCTCGCGCTCTCTCTCTCTTTCTCACAGGATGAAAGTTACGTCAAACTGCGATGCCATTGAAGAATAAAAGACCGTCAAAATATTAATAACTGTGTGACGTGACTGCTGCGCAGGTGAAATGAAAACCATGACATTAGGCTAATAAAAATGATGAGAGTATTCCATTTGTATTCAAGCTTTGCAAGCAGGTTTCTTTTCATTTGGGGAGGGATTTTACATCAGTAAATATTTCATAACTTGAAGGCTTGACTACAAAAATAGTAACATTTATTCTCTATAAGAAAAAATATATAGTTCATTAAATATCTGAAATTAAAACAAGCAAGAGAAATCTATTCACTGCTTAAATTGCAAACGTCAGTCGCATTCTGGATGCTGACTTTGAGCCATATATTCATGTGTCAAAACATGTCGCTCCTTTGAAATCTTTGCAACTGATGTAACAGAACTGCTTATAATGCCTGTTTCTGAAGGACAGCGAGTTACTTTGGATGGACATCACAGTCAAACTGAGGTAGCTGTACTCATCTTTAGAAGACCAGTGACATCTTTCAAACTTCTTTTTTAACATTTAATGACTTTTTTCAGTGCAGATGTAAGAGCTACAAAATGGATGCAGATTGGCTAGAAGCAGACGAGATGTTTCCTGTTCAAACAGGACCGTTGTAAGGTCCCATCTGGTTGCTTCATTGCTTGCGTTCCTTCAGTCTCGGAGCAGCTGCACAGGGTGTTTAAGCACTTATGTGCATTATGTCACTATATATGGACCCAATTAAAGGAGTAAAAAACTTCTTTCCACTGCGTGTGTGTGTGTGTAAACAGTGTGTGAGATGTTGGAAAGTGCCGCTTCTGCCCCACACAGTCTCCTGGGACTTTGCGTTCACTGACATCTGTGTCTCCCTTTTACTCGCTCCAGGGAAAGATGGCATCTTTCGCTTCATCTCACTATCTCTTGCCCCGCATCACTTCCTCCTTCCTTTTTGATTGACAGGACTCCCCTCGTCTCACTGTAACTCTTGGAATACATACTGACTTTTTTCGTTTGAGTGGTGTTCAACTTTTCATTCAGCAAAAATTATTAATTTTTAGTTTCTTTAAAGAGATGCTCCCCTCCCACCTCTCTCTCTCTGCACCAGGGGACACTAAAGCCCCAGGGTTCAATCTGGCCCATTTGCATTCAAGGGAGCAAAAGAGGAAAACAACAAGATGTGTTTTCATCTCACACTCCAGTAAACTAAAAAAATAAAAACAGACTTAGTTTCATGTGCTATATTAGCATACTTTATATGATAATCAGTGGTGTTTGCAAGAGGATTTGAATAAATCGTTAACCTTTGAACCTTGGGTTCAAACAGCACAAAATTCTTGCAACATTTGTGCTGTAGCTTGACAATACCTCAAATTTCACTTCGCAACTCTTTGCAACAGTTACTGTTCGAAATTTTCGGCGTCTGTAAATTTCTGTAAACATTTTTTGAAAGAAGTCTCTTAAAGGGATAGTTCACCCAAATATGAAAATTATGTCATTAATGACTCACCCTCATGTCGTTCCAAGCCCGTAAGACCTCCGTTCATCTTCGGAACACAGTTTAAGATATTTTAGATTTAGTCCGAGAGCTTTCTGTCCCTCCATTGAAAATGTATGTACGGTATACTGTCCTTGTCCAGAAAGGAAATAAAGACATCATCAAAGTAGTCCATGTGACATCAGTGGGTTAGTTAGAATGTTTTGAAGCATCGAAAATACATTTTGGTCCAAAAATAACAAAAACTACGACGTTATTCAGCATTGTATTGTCTTCCGGTTCTGTTGTGGATCCGCGTTCAGTGACGCTGCTGACGTAAGACGCTGCTGACGTGTGTCTGGTGCGCCCGAGCTTCGTTTACAGTCTGAGGGAGACGCACGCTGTAAACAAAACAATCTTCGCAAACATGTCTAAGGATTTCGACACAGAGGAACTTGCATTTTTTTGCCCAGCCATATTTATTTGAACCCGAATACACGGACACACCAGATACACGTCAGCAGCGTCACTGAACGCGGATTGACAACAGAACCAGAAGACAATACAATGCTGAATGAAGTCCTAGTTTTTGTTATTTTTGGACCAAAATGTATTTTCGATGCTTCAAAACATTCTAAAGAACCCACTGATGTCACATGGACTACTTTGATAATGTCTTTATTTCCTTTCTGGACAAGGACAGTATACCGTGTACATTTTCAATGGAGGGACAGAAAGCTCTCGGACTAAATCTAAAATGTCTTAAACTGTGTTCCGAAGATGAACGGAGGTCTTACGGGCTTGGGACGACATGAGGGTGAGTCATTAATGACATAATTTTCATATTTGGGTGAACTAACCCTTTAAGGCTGCATTTATTTGATCAAAAATACAGGATAAGCAGTAATACGGTATAGTGAATTATTATTACAATTTAAAAGAACCGTTTTCTATTTGAATAGGCTACAATTTAAAATGTAATTTATCCTTATTCCTCCAGTCATCAGTCACACGATCCTTCAGAAATCATTCTAATATGCTGATTTGGAAACATTTCTTATTATTATCGATGTTCAAAACGTAATATTTATGTCAAAATCAAACAAAAGGGCTACAATTTAGAATTCTTTCATTAATAGAAAGTTCAAAAGAACAACATTTATTTAAAATAGAAATCTTTTGTAACATTATATATGCCTTTATTGTCACTTTTGATCAATTTAATGCATCCTTGCTGAATAAAAGAAAAAGAAAATCTTACTGACCCCACATTTTTTAATGGTAATGTTTTTGAAAATATTTTTGAAAATACCATGCATAACGTAGTGCAATGTGCCAAATGTCACACCACAAATCAAATTTATGTCCATTTTATATCCCTTTTTTTTTCTTAATTTTTTGGAATATCTCTTTAAGTCTTCATTTTGGCTGAATAATGGTTAAAAGCCAACAAAAGTCTATCACAAGATTGAAAGAATCCAACAGGAGGGAGGACACGATGTACGCAGGAGTATATAATACTAAACCGTTTTTTTCCCCTAGTAAATGAGCCTGTTGTCAAAATGCTAGTTGAGACTAAAAGCACTTGGTGTTCCACTTGATAACATTTAGTATAACATTTCAAGTGCTCATCTTACAGTATCTAATGGTTCAATTCCCTCAGCTTGTATCATTTTTCAGACTTTCCGGTTTGAAATATGCTCAGTATGTTTACCTTTCCAACTGGCAAGAAAATCTTAACAAAACACAGGGTGTTAAACTGAGACACTACAACCAACTGTTTACCAGAAAGCAACATGTGTGTGTTCTTTACAGGACTGATGTTGCCGGTCAACTATCTGGCCAGGGCTCACCCTGTCAATTAACCCCAGTCTATTGGCACTGTTTGCTGGTTCTGAAACATTCATCAGAAGGGTTAATAATTGAAGAGTCAGCAGCTTGAGACCCATGAGTTTTTGATGGACTGAACGCTGTACACTTGTGCTTCTGCATAAACACATCAGCGCCGCAGAGTTCAGCCAAATCTGGAGGCATCATTAGTCAAATAGCTTCACAAAAGCACAATGTGTGGCTTGGGTAATGAGCTTTATAAACAAATTAGAGAATATGAAAGTTCTGAAACATTTATGAAGTTGACCCAGTTGCATAAATTAAACGTTATAAAACATAAGTGTGTGTAAACCAATCTTCCCAGAATGCCAGTGGAGTTTAGCCAGGAAACAATCGAAAGGGCTCAAAAAAAACCCCAAAAAAAAAAAACCCAAAGAATCAATAAGATTTGGAAAAATAAACAAAAAAAAGAGTTTTCATGTGATTCTTTGACCCAGTGTTATTTTAGTATCATTGAGATACTATTATAGTTTTTGCTAATATTTTAAATCAGATTTTTATTTTTATATTTTCCATTTGATATATGATTCCATTTAAATACAAATTGTATTATTAAGAAGGGGTTAATTGCTCAGATTTGGACTCAAATGCTTTGCTTACGAGTTCAAAATATTCTTCTTGTTGCGTATACTTGCCATTTAGACATGCATTTTATAATACTTTTTCACTCATTTTTATTTATTTATTTATTTCCCCACCCCCTGCATGGTATTCAGGGCTGAGTCAGTGGAATGAAGATACTTTTGGAAAGCATTTACGCTTGAGTGGAGGAGATGTGCACTTGTGTTTTATTAATTCAACTGTCTGCCCCCCTAGTGCATTTAAAGATTGCCCTATGTAATTCCCCTCCTTAAAAACAAAGCAAGGCTGAAAAGTTTGAATGCACATGTCCCCTAATAAGGAAGACGTAAATTAATGCAAAGCAAATCTGGTACTGTGTTTCCTTTTAGAGGTAATGAGAAATGCATAATAAATGAAAAAAAAAAAAAAAAAAAAAAAAATGCATAACGTGTTCTGAAGGGCTGTTGCTGGGAAAGCAGGGTAGGGTTTCTGCATGACGCAAGGGGGCCAGAATAATTATAAAGTCTATTTATGGAAGCACAAAGATGGAAGCCACTCATACAGCACTTCTGAAACCTCCCTGGGTTCTCGTTTTCAATTAATCAATTTGGGTTTAAAGGAGAACTCCGGCGCAAAATGAACCTTTGGTCTAATAAAACATTGGTACCTAGTCAACCATTCTCTGAGATTTGTTTTCATGATAATCGAATGTAAAGAGTTTTATCTCTAAAAACTGTTTAGCTTATAACGCTAGTAATGGGGGCATCTATTAAGTAAAAAGAAATCGCTAGTTAATACCACTAACCAGGCCAGTGGCGTAGCAAGTCAGTCCGGGGCCCATATGCAAAAAAAAATTTGTACGGGCCCCCCTAACCCTGCCCCCCAAGTACATTGAAGATTCATTTATAGACGTTCACTGTAGTGTATCAAGAAAATACCATACCAAACAATACCATAAAAAACACTCTACCCAACAACTTTTCACAACCAGAACAGAACAAAAACAAGTCTAAAACCAACCAAGGCTCAGCCAATGTCAATAATAAACTACTGATCTTGGCACGGCAGCCCAAAATGTA